GAAAATGCACAAGTAGAATGTGGCTCTTTATTCTGTTCATTCAGCTCTAAGTAACTATATTAATTTGTTAAATTTAAGTTATCTAAGGCTGTTTTTCAATTCACAAGAACATGAGTACGGTCTCCTGTTCTCACCAACTACGTTCTTGACTGGACTCTGGGAGAACAGGAGCACGCAGCATAGATCTGGGTCAATTAGAACAGAAGCGCATTGATGACACATTCAAAGATAGTCTAGAGCTGCAATTCACCTCCTGTCATTAATAGTCTCTAGTAGGGTTGTCAAAAGTATTGATACTCAAAAAAGTATTGATACTCAAAAAAGTATCGATACTGAAACGTTGTATCCGGATACAATACTCATTTTCCAAAGTATCGATACAGCCATCTAAAGTGCAGAATAGTGGAAAATGCACTTTCTGAACACTGTGTGATTGAATCATTCTGTGCATTTTTCAGTTTCAGACTTTTTTTGTAAGCGGTGCAGCTGCTGAGAATTATTTTTCTTAACTGGTTTGGCCAGTGTCATTGTTATGTGTGCAAAGCTTAGCCAAGGAAGGAACATGCACAGCATACAACCTCAAAATATTGTTATTATTGTTTTTTTATTTATTTCTTGTATTTTTTTTAGTAATGAAAATATTTCTGTTGAATTTTAGTCTTTGTTTTTATTCTTGTGGTATCGTAAAGGGTATCGAGTATCGAATATTTTACTTAGTATCGATATCGAGTTGAAAAGTTTAGTATTGTGACAACACTAATCTCTAGATAATTATAAATTATGTGGGGGAATAATAATGAACGCAGTCAGATAAACACAAATCAAATGAACATTTTAACAAATAAAACCAAAGAATCTCCATCAGAGTCAGCGGTCCTTCACAGACGGCTATGCAGAGAGAGGGCTGCTGTGGACGGGCTAACGTTAGCCCCGGCCGCTGCGGACGGGCTGACGTTAGCCCCGGCCGCTGCAGACGCGTTAACGTTAGCCCTGGCCGCTACAGACGCGTTAACGTTAGCCCTGGCCGCTACAGACGCTCTAACGTTAGCCCTGGCCGCTGCAGACGGGTTAACATTAGCCCAGGCCACTACAGACGGGCTAACATTAGCCCTGGCCGCTACAGATGGGTTAACGTTAGCCCTGGCCGCTACAGATGGGTTAACGTTAGCCCTGGCCGCTACAGATGGGTTAACGTTAGCCCTGGCCGCTGCGGACGGGTTAACATTACTCCTGGCCACTACAGACGGGCTAACGTTAGCCCTGGCCGCTGCGGACGGGTTAACATTACTCCTGGCCACTACAGACGGGCTAACGTTAGCCCCGGCCGCTGCGGACGGGCTGACGTTAGCCCCGGCCGCTGCGGACGGGCTGACGTTAGCCCCGGCCGCTGCGGACGGGCTGACGTTAGCCCCGGCCGCTGCAGACGGGCTGACGTTAGCCCCGGCCGCTGCGGACGGGCGAACGTTAGCCCTGGCCGCTACAGATGGGTTAACGTTAGCCCTGGCTGCTGCGGACGGGTTAACATTAGACCTAGGTGCTGCAGACAAATGCAGAAAAATTTTCTTGAAATGTACTTTTATCGAGCAACGGCAACAGAAAAGATAACTTTTAACTTAATACTGTTAAGTATTAAGGCTGTACTAGTGCTAAGGATGATGACATTTCACAAGGACATGAGGACGCACAAGTACATAGATTGAGAAACAGCCTCTGTTGGACGTCAAACTTATAACCAAAATGGCCGCCGATGAGAAAGTAGCACAATAGCCTGTTTAGCTGCCCCTCTGCAAGTAAATTATTATTAAGTAATCATCATAATGCTAAATTTATTTTAATTTTAGCAGTCAGACTAAAATAAATAAATATCTAAAGAATAAAATGCTAATCCTCTGAATCGTTAACAATAGTTAGCATAGTACAGAGAGTCGTAATTTGAAACTTAATGTATTAGCCTTTAATTTAAGCAGCTAAATAGGATGATTTGCTAACAGAAGGAGTATATACAAACATAATCAGATATTATATGATGAAAATAATGATTATTTTTCTTATTTTAAAGATAAATAATTGAATCAATCTGCTCTAATCAATCAAATACTCTTATTTTGAGCAAAGTTGACTTAGATTTCAAAGCTTGCTGCTTAACAAAAATGATCAGCACAAAGATCAATAGATATCTGTCCTCATTTCACCACATTAGTGTAAAAACTGATTTGAAATAAATGAAATTTGTAAAGCTCGGTCTACCAAAAGAAAATAACATTTCAAAATTTAAATCAAGAAAATGAAAACATAAAAAAATTGATCGAAATAAACATTAATTGAAACTTTTCCATGATACACATTTTAAATGATCTTCAAAATCTGCTTTTATAATGAATAAATTCCATTTTTAGAATGTGTTTTGGCTTTAAGTAATAATGGGGTAAAATCCTCTCCATACATCTTTGAGGTCTGATTATGATAAAAAAAAAAAAAATGAACAGAAAAAAGAGAATAAATTATCTAAACTACAAACCAGATATGACAATAATTCTGCTATCAAGACAAACTGCTGCAGATGAAACTAAACATTTAGAGACATAAAAACTAAGATGAGTAAATTAAAGACGTTTAAACTCTGCAGTTTTCTTTCCTTTCTTTGTTTCCCCTCAGGTGCTAAGCTAACAGTATTATTCCTCTTCAAACTTTCATTTCTTTCCTCTATTTGAGGCTTTAAATGCAGAAAATTCCTGGAATCCCAGCTTAGCTGTAAGCATTTTAAATGTGAAACATGATGAAGTTGCAGTTTTTCACTTCAGAGTCATGAAGGTGAGAATAGCTGAAGGATCCAACGTTACGTCGTGTTGTTTTATTTATTTCCTCAGCAGAGGAACAAAGTGCGACCTCCAGCTGTTTGAAGACTTGAAAGTAAAAGAAATGGCGTCTCTAGTTGAGTTTAAATGAGTGAAACTTAGATCATGCAGGCAATGGATCTTATGGACTCTTTTATTGCTTCAGGAGTTTCACTGCAGAGAACTCAGCCTGGTATTTATGGGGTGAATTTTGTTCCATCATTGTGGCAAAGGAAGAGCATGTTTTCTAACAGGAAATTTGAAAATAATTGTTTAGAAAACATGCAAATAGAAACGGATGAACGGGTCCCCCCCTTTGGAATGGGGGTCGTTTGGCTTCTTTGTTAGCCTGCAATGCCCCATACCTGTCTATGTCTCTGAAAGGGGGGGTCATTAGAGGGAACTAAAACCAGGCTTTGTTGGGCTGCTGGATAAAACCTGGAACTAAACGCTATTTCTGACATTTGGAATTGAAAATGTTTCCTGGATGGAAGAGAAACGTCTTTAAATTCGGAAAAAAAGTCCAGTGGATTGTTTTTTAACTTTTCTGGAGTGACTATGACCTGGATGACTGAGAATCTGAGAACCAGCATATTTTCCACAGTCAGTGCATTACCCTGACTTGAATCTAATCTAGAATATACTTCTGGATTTTTATCCTCATGGAGGTGAAAATAACAAATACAACAGATTTTAAGACAGATTAAAAAGTAAATTCAATTAAAGAAAAAAACAAAAACACATTGAGGAGCGTAATCCAGAACTAAGACTCAACCCAACTCCTGCCGGAAAAGATTATTTCACATTTTATATTAGTTTAATTTAAAGTATAAAATCCCTGATCCATATTATTATGCAAATGTTCTGTTTTACCGCGAAAGATTCATCCTGAGTTTATCAAAACCAAACATCTTTAGTCTATAGAACCTTTAAATAGAAATTTATGTTATAATTTAGCCCGAACACTTCTAGAGGTCTAAGGTGCTGAGAGCGGATCTCATCCATTTCACCACAGAGTTTTCTGACTCCACACTGACAGAAATAAAATAGAAAAAATCAAATATGAAAAAAAAATTGAAAAAGAACATTTTAAATAGTAAAATCTAATTAAAAAAAAAAGCAAAGCGCTTTTTATTAAGAATTGTTTTAAAGTTTTAGTTATAGATCATATCGATTTTATTTTTTTCATTTACAAAAACATGCTTTGTGCTGCAACAAAAAAATGAAGCAAAAATCACTCCATACATATAAAAAGCTAGCAAAGGAGTCATTTAGAAGTCGCTTTAACAACTAAAAGGGAGAATTTTTTCAGTTTTAATAGATGGCAGCATTACGGAAGAGGATTAGGGCCACTGAAAAAAAAAAAAAGTTAACTGATTTTTAAATTTTATTTCAGTTTACATGGGAAAAAAGTCAGAATTCTAATTTTTTTCTCAGAATTTTGACTTTTTCTCAGAATTCTGACTTTAATCTCAGAATTCTGACTTTTTTTCTCAGAATTCTGACTTTAATCCCAGAATTCTGACTTTTTTCTCAGAATTCTTACTTTAATCTCAGAATTCTGACTTTATTCTCAGAATTCTGACTTTAATCTCAGAATTCTGACTTTAATCTCAGAATTCTGACTTTTTTCTCAGAATTCTGACTTTATTCTCAGAATTCTGACTTTAATCCCAGAATTCTGACTTTAATCTCAGAATTCTGACTTTAATCCCAGAATTCTGACTTTATTCTCAGAATTCTGACTTTATTCTCAGAATTCTGACTTTAATCCCAGAATTCTGACTTTAATCTCAGAATTCTGACTTTTTTCTCAGAATTCTGACTTTTTTCTCAGAATTCTGACTTTTTTCTCAGAATTCTGACTTTTTTCTCAGAATTCTGACTTTTTTATTGCCAGAATTCAGTCAGAATTCTGAGATTAAAGTCAGAATTCTGAGATTAAAGTCAGAATTCTAAGATTAAAGTAAGAATTCTGAGAAAAAAGTCAGAATTCTGACTTTTTTCCCATGCTATACTGAAATAAAATGAAAAAAATCAGTTAACTTTTTTTTTTTTCCAGTGGCCCTAATCCTCTTCCGTACAGCATAAGGGAAGCTGAACGAAGACAATCTGAAGTTTGACACATATTGGAAGGAAAAAAAAAAAGAAGAAGAGAAGAATCACCTGGGGTTTGCAGTGGAGCATCTGACGTTACCAAAGCTGGTCTCTGTCAGCAGAAATCTTCCCAGAGATCCATATGAAATAAAAATCAAAAACAGAAGCATGTTCAGTGTTAAAAACAGTCGTGCAAAAATGTATAAATATATAAATCTGTTTGGTGCATCTGCAGATGTTCTGAGAGCCACAATGACAGAAAAACAATCCCATATATACATTGTGAGGTCCGGACCCATCCCAGGATCAATAGCCTTAGGCTCCAGGCTCCCGGCTCCAGGCAGGTGAGGTGCAGGCTGTTTAAATAATTAACTACATGGAGAGAGGCAGAACCGAAGTCTACGGGTAGTCATAACACGCTGAAGGATACAGGAATCATGTTACAATGTTAAAAGCAAGTAACTGGAGTGAGTAATTGGCCAGTTTGGGTGCTTAGAGGGGCCTGAAAGTGCTAAGGAGACATGGCAGCGCATTGATTATTGGCCCCCAAGGGTCCGAGCAGCGGCAGCAAACACTGCTCTTTAGTTAAAGGCAGAGGCGACAGTAACAGGAGTCACAGCTTCTGACCTTGAATAGATTCAACAGTTCTGCTTCTGGCATCCATAAAAACACAAAAAAGAATTTTCTTTGTTTTCTTTTTTTTTATTGCTCACCTTGGTGGTTTTTATCTTGTTCCCTGTAGCGCAGCTCCAGCCCTTCAGATCGGGAAGAACTTTACATTCCTCCCCATCGAGGCACGGATGCATCTGGCACCACCACTTCTGTTCAGCGATGGAGGCTGGAAAAAACAGAATAAAGCAGAATTTCCCCTGATCTGAGTAATTTTAGCAAATAGTTTGTTCTTTTAAGCAGAAACTGGTCGGCCGTTCTGCACTGTGTCGTCTGATTTATTCCTTTTTGGTTTAGATTGAGTATCTCCACCATTGTAAAGAAAATAAATGAATGCCAGAGTCGTTTAAAACAGCGGATAATGCTCCTGGTTTGGTGCATCTTTAGCACAGAACATCCGAACCAGTGGGTGTTTAGAACGGTTTTGCCATCTTGTCATTTGGTGTGTTTCAAACTCGTTTCCGGATGACACCGGGAGCCTTAAAGGTGGAATCTCTTCAGATCATCAAAGCCGGCGATGAACAAGCCATGTCACATCCTGACAGCTTTCTTAGGTAAGTGATGTAAGCTTTGCTTTTTCACCGGTAACACGTCTATTTTAAATATGCAAACGAGTCTCAGCCTCCATATGATGTGTCAGGAAAGGGAGCTGATAGCAGATGCATCTTCAGTCAACTGCAATCAGAACACCTCCTCACTTCCCTCCTAAACAAACGGTGCAGAACAGATGTATTGCTGAGCTTCAATTAGCCTTTTGCAAGACGCAGTAGGTTTTTCAGGAGGAAACTTTAATGTTTAACATTATTTATCTGGGTTATTAGGATTGTTATTATTATCGATGTGTCTGTTAAACCCTACACTGCAAAAAACAATCTATAAATAAGTAAATGTTTCTTAAATTCAGTGTATTTACCCTTAATTTGAGTAGGTAAGTAAGAGGATTTGCCAAAAGAATGAGTATTTTTACTCTTAACATAAGATAATTAGATAAAATTCACTTGAAATAAGAAAATGCAATTGTTTTTTCTTATTTCAAATGTAAATTGTCTTGTTCCATTGGCAAAGTGTCTCACTTAGCTCCTCAATTCAAGAAAAAATGCACTGATTTTAAGAAAAATGTACTTATTAAGATTGAAATTTTTTGCAGTGTAATAATACCTGCCTGCACTGGAAAAAATTGAAATCTGGATAAGTCACTTTTTATTAAAATAAGTGCATATGTTCTTGGATTGAGGAGCTAAAAGAGACATTTTGCCAATGGAATGAGAGAATGGCATTGTGTTTTTCAATTGCATATTATCTAATTATCTTATTTCAAGAGTAAAATACTCAAATTAAGGGTAAATACACTTAATTTAAGGCATTTTTACTTATTTCTAGATCTTCTTTCCTGTGTGTTTGGTGTCAGAACTAATCTAATTAGTAAAGTTCTTTCGGAATTTGTGAAACGGAAAACTCAGTTTCACAAGAGTTTTAAGTAAACCTGCTTTGTGAAACGCACCCCAGTTTTTAACTCAAGTCATTACACACACCGGCCACTTTATTAGGTACACGTGTCCAACTGCTCGTTAACACTTAATTTCTAAGCAGCCAATCACATGGCGGCAACTCAGTGCATTTAGGCATGTAGACATGGTCAAGACAATCTCCTGCAGTTCAAACCGAGCATCAGTATGGGGAAGAAAGGTGATTTGAGTGACTTTGAACGTGGCATGATTGTTGGTGCCAGAAGGGCTGGTCTGAGTATTTCAGAAACTGCTGATCTACTGGGATTTTCACGCACAACCATCTCTAGGGTTTACAGAGAATGGTCCGAAAAAGAAAAAACATCCAGTGAGCGGCAGTTCTGTGGGCGGAAATGCCTTGTTGATGCCGGAGGTCAGAGGAGAATGGCCAGACTGGTTGGAGCTGATAGAAGGGCAACAGTGACTCAAATAACCACAAGTTACAACCAAGGTGGGCAGAAGAGCATCTCTGAACGCACAGTACGTCGAACTTTGAGGCAGATGGGCTACAGCAGCAGAAGACCACACCGGGTGCCACTCCTTTCAGCTAAGAACAGGAAACTGAGGCTACAATTTGCACAAGCTCATCGAAATTGGACAATAGAAGATTGGAAAAACGTTGCCTGGTCTGATGAGTCTCGATTTCTGCTGCGACATTCGGATGGTAGGGTCAGAATTTGGCGTCTACAACATGAAAGCATGGATCCATCCTGCCTTGTATCAACGGTTCAGGCTGGTGGTGGTGGTCTCATGGTGTGGGGAATATTTTCTTGGCACTCTTTGGGCCCCTTGGTACCAATTGAGCATCGTTGCAACGCCACAGCCTACCTGAGTATTGTTGCTGACCATGTCCATCCCTTTATGACCACAATGTACCCAACTTCTGATGGCTACTTTCAGCAGGATAATGCGCCATGTCATAAAGCTGGAATCATCTCAGGACTGGTTTCTTGAACATGACAATGAGTTCACTGTACTCAAATGGCCTCCACAGTCACCAGATCTCAATCCAATAGAGCATCTTTGGGATGTGGTGGAACGGGAGATTCGCATCATGGATGTGCAGCCGACAAATCTGCGGCAACTGTGTGATGCCATCATGTCAATATGGACCAAACTCCCTGAGGAATGCTTCCAACACCTTGTTGAATCTATGCCACCAAGAATCGAGGCAGTTGTGAAGGCAAAAGGGGGTCCAACCCGTTACTAGCATGGGGTACCTAACAAAGTGGCCGGTGAGTGTATAATTAATCGGATTTGTCTGGTTATTTTGGAGTTTTTTCCTCTCATTAATATAACAGCATCATCTGCATACAACTGAACACTGAGATTCTGACACATTTCAAGCAGCTGATTTACACAAATCCTAAATAACAGTGACTCCAATGTGGTACTTTGGGGGACCTCTGAGGTTTTCATATTCAGTCCCAGAAAGCGACGCACATTGCATCCTATCGGATAGATAAGATTAAAACAATAAACGTGAACACAACGCACGTCCCGAGAGTAAACGGCAAAAAAAGAAGACTTTATGGTGGGAAGAAATCAGTCTGTAAAACGGCAAAGTGTAAAAAACAGCATGGAAGCAGAAGGAAGGGGGGGTGCATTAACGAGAATTAAAAGCTAAAAATGTTTGTAAAACAAAATGATGTCAGAGCCTGGTCTGCATTGCCGGTAGTAAGTCGGACTCGTTTCCGATGAGGGTTGGACTCCGCCAAGGTTGCCCTTTATTATCGATTCTGTTCATACCGTAAATCCTCTAATATAGGCCGGGACCTTTATTTCACTCAGGTACATCTTGGTCCAGGCCATTATTGGAAGGAGGCCAGAATTAGAGGCAGGCCTCTATTTCTATTTGATCAAAACAGACGACCCGTGGAACGAATAAAAACAGATTTTGTCTCTTTGAACCGATAAAATACCAGGTTCATTTATTGAAAAAGTACAGTTACCATAACGGTTTACAGAACATTATTCAGACATCTTCCAGCAGCTGCTATTTTTCTGCACGGCAATACAAAAAAAAAAGACACAGAATGGATTCTTGGCCAAACAAAGTTTTAAAATAAATTAATGGAAACTGTTCTGCCATCACAGCCGGTCATAAAAACCAAACAATCCGGCCTCCTGTCTGCAGCACTGTCTGCGCTAAGGATGGGAATTCCCAAGCTAATGGATTGGATTCGTTAGCAAACACTGCCCCCCTGTGGTACTTGCATGTTACTATCAGAGGTTGCTGAGGACCGCACAGGAACATCGTTGGTTCCAATTATAGCCCCGGCCTGTATTAGCGTCCGGCCATTATTTACCCCCGCCGACAGCAAAACCGGCCATTATTAAATACAGGCCAATATTAGAGGATTTACGGTAACTTTTATGGACAGAATTTCTAGGTGCAGCCAAGGTGTTAAGGGGATCTGTCTTGGTGGCCTTAGGATTGCATCTCTGTTATTCGCAGATGATGTGGTTCTGTTGGCTTCATCAGGTCGTGATCTACAGCTCTCACTGGAGCGGCTCGCAGCCCAGTGTGAAGCGGCTGGGATCCGAGACCGTGGTCTGGAGCCGTAAAAGATTAGAGTGCCTTCTCAGGGTTGGGGAGGATGTACTGCCCCTAGTGGAGGAGTTTAAGTATCTTGGGGTCTTGTTCGTGAATGAGGGGAAGATGGAACGGGAGTTTAGGGCGGATTGGTGCGGCGTCTGCTGTGAAGCTAGCGCCGTACCGGTATGTTGTGGTGAAAAGAGAGCTGAGCTGAGAAGCAAAGCTCTCGATTTACCGGTCGATCTACGTTCCTACCCTCATCCAACATATTTTCATTATCAGTTCGTATGAAGTCGTACGAAAAGTTATGCAAACTATTACGTACTTTTTGGACGCATGCGCTGGCAGACAGAAAAAAAAAAGAAGATCCGTGAACGGACATAAAACTGGGAAAAACAGTGCAATCATCACTTATTCATGTCTCTAACTACGTTGCTTGCTGTTTTATATCTTAGGGTCAGGGTTAGGGCTAATTGTAATTTATATTCTAGATTCGTGAATGGCGCGTCAGACGCGCATACGACGAAAAAAATGTCCAAAACGTGCAAAATTACGGTGCGTAACTTATCGTACGATTTCATACGAACTCATAATGAGGAGGACTCAGAGTAGAGCCGCTGCTCCTCCACATCGAGAGGAGCCAGTTGAGGTGGCTCAGGCATCTGGTTAGGATGCCTCCTGGACGTCTCGCTGGTGAGGTGTTCCGGGCACGTCCCACCAGGAGGAGGCCGAGAGGGAGACCCAGGACACGCTGGAGGGACTATGTTTCTCAGCTGGCCTGGGAGCGCCTAGGGCTTCCCCCAGAGGAGCTGGGGCCTCCCTATTGACTCTACTCTAATAATCCCAGAGGGAAATTACTTCTCTGCATTTAACCCATCCCCTTGGTCTGCCATTAAGGCGCCCGGGGAGCAGTGTGAGGTTAAGGATCTTGCTCAGGGACCCAGAATGGCAGTCTGTGGGAGTAGGGGGTCTCACAATCTCAGGATTCAAAGCCCTATGCCCTAACCACAAGGCCACCACTCACCCCATTGGGGGGGAGGATTTATTCTAAGCTTCTTTTTGGATTTGTGAAAATAAATAATTGAATATTCTGCAAATATGTGGGTCAGAAATCCTCCAGACTTC